GACCACAATGTTGCAACAAACGTGCGAAAGTCGGTTCTACACGACCAACTAAAACTGGCGGATATTCCCGTTCCTTGAAACCATACCTTACCCAATCCAACATGTATATCCGTAGCAAGTGGGCGTTAGGCTTCATTAGGTCGGATTTCACTGTGAAAAGCACAGAAAACAATGTCCACGTGGACGAAAAACGGTACCTCCTCAAAGTCCCAAATGTGCATTTACGGACTCACTGGAGAATAGCCTCCGCCAAGACCGGTAAGAAACAATAGCATTTTCCTCAAGGTAGACAAATAAACACAAAATAGCTCATCAACTACATAAGTCATGTTCCTATGAGATGTTGCTAAGCCCCGCTGGGAACATGCCACGAATTCTTGGTGGGACGGCAAGATTGGCTGCGAGCCATTAATACTAGTCGTTCCCGCCGCCAGAAATAACAAGAACCGCGCCATAGGAACGCCGATCACCTCACCTCTTGTGGTCACGCGCGATGTCAACAAGAGTGTGATCTTAGAACTGGTCATTCCGGTGATCAAGACAAACTGACCCCTTCATTTTCCAGAGGACACGTATATCTTCAACAAGACAACGCACGCCCACACGTAGCTCTAGACAATCGACATTCGGCTTGCTGGTACGTCGGACGGATTTGCCATCTCCATCAATGGCGATCCGCCAACTCGCCCGACATCAAATTGCAGGATCTTGGACTTATTTGTGCCCTACAATCCAGCAATGTGAAACGACATGCACAATCACTCGACAACATTGCCAACTACGTACTTGCCACGTGGAGTGACGTGCACTGGACGGCGCTGCTTACCAACTTTCTGAAGGTGCAGTTCATGTTGGTCGAGACCCTCAAATGTGGCGCCGGCAATAATATCCGCGTCCTTCATCCGAGAAGCGCCGGCTGGAGGGCCAAGGCTTACTAACTGAAGAACCTCTGTGTCCCGCCGACGTTGTTGTGTCCGGTCGTGTCCTTCTCAGCACGGAGGACAAACACGTCCACAATGCGTCCGCCGTGTGGAATCAGAATCAGGTCTGGTGTCGAGCGAAGTGGTGCTATGCAATGCTTACGAAGAACTGCAAATTGGCATCGATGATGTCGTGTTCAATTCATTTTCTAAGTATACTGAACTTTGAATATTTTTTGGAAAGTATTTCTCGAATTGACAGGTAATTTGTACTCAAGGAGCATGAAATTGATGACGAAATTTGACTTTTATTGATTGAGAATTTAATTTAGCAATTCATAACATCACAATTGATATTGCCCGACTCCTGGAGCGCTTGGTAAGATGTTCTATGTAATATTTCAGTTTGAGCTGATTCAACCTTGGTCCTACAGAGGTGAGCTCACTCAGTTATCGTGTCATATAAGTAATTCATAGCTGCAGGATTTGGAACATGACACTTGTTGGCACGTCGTTATCAAATATCCATACCAGATGTATGGCTTTACCAGATAAACTCGGAAGAAAGCAGTATCCAATAAACATTCTTTGCTCCACCATGACGACCTTGCATCGGTAGAAATCACTACATTCGAGAAATTGATTATGTTCGCGAATATTGATGCATTACCTTATACAGTATGCCACAACTTGGATATTGACTAGTAGAGGTTTATGCCTCCTGTCAGACACTTTCAACTCAGGCTTTTATATACCGTGAATAATGGATGTCATCACAACTAATCTTAGATGCAGATACATTATCGCTTGACTCCATTTTAGAGCTTTAGAGTCGTGGCTCGTGCTGATCAAAATGGTTTGTTTCCGTCATTGACGGCACCGTGCATTGAATCGAGAGGAGTGGATTGGCATGTTTCGGTTGCATGCATACATTCATAGCCAAGGCACGACAGGAGCCTCACTACAGTTGCCGAAGCCATTGACCACATCCGTGTTGTGAAGGATACGTGAGTAAATTCTTGGTAATACGGTCACTTCGTTCAGTGCCTCCTCCTGCAAACCGATCGACGCGCGGCTAAGCTTAGGCAACGTA